CTGAATTTTTCGACGGTGGGGACAAAAATATTTTTCCTTCCGATTTTTGCATTAAAATCTCCTAACAGAATTTTAATGTCATGGCCAGGGTAACGATCATATGCTATTTCTAGGCGCTCGTAAAATATGTCTTTGGTCTGTTCATCTTTATCTTCGGCCGGAGCATGGTCGCAAATGAGACTGAGGTATACGGATTATAGCAATTCGCTCATCTACTGGAGTGCATCTGGAGATGAGGTCTTTTATTCTCCTGTTAACCATAAATCCGCAACCAAATTCACGTCTCGTTTCATGGCAGCTATATCTGATTTACTTACGCCTGTCCCTCTCCATTGCATTCCCGGTAAGGCAATAATAGCGGCTTTGTACTTCTTGAGTACATCCGCCAAAGCGAGAACTGCGTCTGTTCTTTACAACGTGCGCACATTCCAAGTGCAGATTCGCAGATCGTGGTCCTTTATACGTTTGCGGGGGTCGTCAACATTTGGTGGGTTTGGTTTTCTTTTTCTTTGCTTTTTCATAGTAGGTTCGGATTTCCGAATGTGGGCAACTAACCCGACGTCTCAACCCAATTTTTTTATAGTTCTTATGTGTGAACTCGCGGCACATATTAGCTCACTATTTCATCGGGTGATGAAAATAGACACCCCAGGTGGCACCACGGGGAGGTCAGTGTCCACAATTGAGATGAAAGAGGGACCAAGATAAGCCTGGACTTCACCATGTTAAAGTCAATCAGAGCCGTTGCTTGGTATCTATCGTCCCCTACGTCACCCAGTCCTTGAAAAATATGCTTTAATAATTCCACGCCTCCTATAGTCCTTGAAAATCCTCAAAAAAAAGGTATCCTGCATAGTTCCTCTTCAGATTCGGCCAATGACTGTACAACAGTGTAAATTAAAGAAAAAACTGCTCTAGTTTTTTTGTCGAATATGTAACATAATATCCTGCAATGGATATACAAATTCCACATACATATCCCGACAAAAAAAACGGCTCAATACAAATACGAATTCACATGAATGCAATTACATATGTTCGGAGAAAAAAAATTCGCCGATTTTTTCGCCCTCCTTTTTTCCCTACTTTCCATGGCCATGATGAATACGACAATGGACATTGAGGGAAAAATATTCTGCTATGTAAATAAATTTAATGAATATGTACTTCATGTTGGTCCATCCGACGATTCTGAATAAATATCGCATTTCAGCCTCTTGCTTTGGATCCAGATTTTTTTTTCACTTTTTTTGGATACCAGCTAGGTGTTCATGCGAAAAACGCAATGCAATTAACGTAATATTCATACGAATCGAGTTTTTTTGTTTTTGTATTACCTTGGCTATTATTATGGCTACAAAAGCAGAATACATTTGTGTGTGTATGTGTGGAAATTTTTAATATCACATCAAAATGACTGGCTGCATGCTGAATATTAATGAATATATAAATATTAAATGTGATTAATTGATTTTCATATTAAAAACAATAAAAAGAAATATATTGAATATGAATAACACGTAAAAGTTCGGAAGGGGCGGACATTTTTACACCATCCCCCACCATGAGGACATTCAGTATCAATCTGGATTTTTATATAGAATACTATGCCATGTTAAATTTGGCTACCAGAAGAAAATTAAATACGAAACAACAGACGGACATTCGGGGGAGGCACATCCGCCTAAAATATCGAAATATCGGAGGTACCGTTATATGGGAACCATACTTAAATGTGTTTCGATTTTGATAATTTTTGGTAGGAAGATGTACCGTCCAATGAGAACCCCACATACCAAATTACAGCCAATTTGGCTGAAAAGTGGGCCTAAAATTCCCAAAATTCCGAAAAATGGAGGGTACCCTTATATGGGGACTACCTTGAAAAATGGTCCAATTTTAATAATTTTTGGTGGGGAGATTTTCTAACCAAAGAGAACACCAAATACCAAATTGCAACCAATTCGGTTGAAAAAACGTTCCAAAAAATTTCCAAAATACGAAAATTCGGAAGTTACCATTATATGGAGGCTACCCCATAAAGTGAATCGATATTGATAATTTTTGGTAGGCAGATTTATCAATCAATATAAACCCCTAATACCAAATTACAACCAATTCGGTTGATAAATGTGCCCAAAATACGGAAATTCGGAAAGTAGTGTTACATGGGATCTACCCTGAAAAGTGGACCAATTTTGATATTGTTTTGCATGGAGTTTTACTACCCAATGAGAACCCCAAAAACCAAATTACAGCCAACATTGGTTGAAAAACGTACCCAAACATATCCAAAATATCGAAATTCGGAAGGTATCGTTAAATGGGGACTAACCTAAAAAGTGGATCGATATTGATAATTTTTAATACGAAAATTTGCTACACCATGAGAACCCAAAATACCAAAATTACAGGCAATTCGTTTGAAAACTGCGCCCAAACTCCCTAAAATACCGAATATTAGAGGGTAACCTCTTATGGGGACAACAACGAAACATTGGTCAATATCGATCATATTTGGTAGGGAGATTTACCAACCAAAGAGAACCCCAATGAGAAGCCCAAATACCAAATTACATCCAATTCCAAATTACACCCAAACATATCCAAATTATCGAAATTCGGAAGGTTCGGAAGGCTACTCTAAAAATAGGTTCAACATTGATAATTTTTAATACGAAGACCATGAGAATCCAAAATACCAAAATTACAAGCAATTCGTTTGAAAAATGTGCTCAAACTCCACAATATATCGACATTTTGGGATATACGGTATAAGGAAGCTACCCCGAAACATTGGAAAATATTGATAATTTTTGGTACGAAGATATGCTACCCAATTAGATCGTCAAATACCAAATTAGAGCCAGTTTGGTTGAAAATCGGGCACAAAATACCCAAGATTCCGAAAAATAGAGGGTACCCTTATATGGGGGCAGCCCTGAAAAGTGGACCAATTTTCATAATTGTTGGTAGGGAGATTTTCTACCTAAAGATAACGCCAAATACCAAATTGCAATCATTCCGGTTAATAAATGTGCCCAAAACCCACAAAATTCCGAAATTCGAAAGGTATCGTTATATCGGGACTAACCTAAAAAGTGGATCGATATTGATCATTTTTGGTAGGAAGATCTACCACCCAATGAAAACCCTAATTACCAAATTACAGGCAATTCGGTTGAAGGACGTACCTAAAAATCTCCAAAATACCGAAATTCGGAAGGTACTGTTATATAGAGGCTAGCCTAAAATATCGATCGATATTTATAATTTTTGGTAGGAAGATTTGCCACCCAATGTGAACTACCTAACTCCTAATACCAAATTGCAACCAATTCGGACAGCCAATTTAGTGGACTTTTTCTGTAGAACCTTCCGAGGTTCTACGCATATTTTTAAGAATATTTTCTGAATGACCTGTCGACAAATAAACGTGTAATTTTTGAAAGATTTTTTTTTTTTTGAGAACCTGCCGTTTAATATGCATAGCTTTTTATGATTTTATTCTAAAGAACCTGCCGATCAAAAGGCATGGATTTTTTAGATTTTCTGAAGGACTTGTCTGATAACAAGTGTGGTTTTTTTCAAGATTTTTATTGTAGAATCTGCCAAATAAACTTGGATTTTTAATGAATAATTTTTTAAGGATCTGTCGATCGATGAGCCTGGATTTTTTTCTTAAGGACCTGCCGATTAATAGGCTTCGATTTTTAAGGTTTTTTCTGAAGGCCCAGTCGATTAAGAGGCGTGGATTATTTAAGTTTTTTTCGGAAGGACCAGCTGTCTACTAGGTCATTAATTTGAGATTTTTAAGAATTTTTTCTCAACAACCTGCCGACCGATAGCCGTGTCTTTTTAAGATTATTGTGGAACCTGGCGCCCAACAGAAGTTTTCTTTTTTTGAGATTTATTTGGGGAACCTAGCGCCCAACAGGCGTGGATTTTTATTTTTTGTGGAACCTGGCCAAGTCGTGTTTTTTAAGATTTTTTTCGGAAGGATTTGCCGATTAATAGGAGTGGAATTTTTAAGTTTTTGTTTTTTTGAGATTTTTTCCGAAAACCTGCAGATAGGCGTTGATTTTTAAGATTTGTTCTGAATGACCTGCCGATTAATAGCTGGGGGTTTTTTAAGTTGTTTTTTCTGAAGGAACTGCCAATTAATAGGCGTGGATTTTTTAAGGTTATTTCTGAAGAACCAATCGGCCAATAAGTTTAGATTTTTTTCTGAAGGACCTGCCGCGTGGATTTTTTGTGAAACCTGGCGCCCAATAGGAGTGGATTTTTTGATCTTTTTTAGTGGTTCCTGGCGCTCAATAGTCGTAAATTCTTTCTACCTTTTTTTGGAACCTGGCGCCCAATAGGCCTGGATTTTTTTGAGATTTATTTCTGAAGGATCTGTCGACAGATTAGATTTTTTAAACATTTTGTTCTAAAGTCGGCAAAGAATATTTTCGAAGAACCTGATTTTTGAGTTAGCGCGGACTTTTGAGTTTTTTTCTGAAGGACCTGTTGATTAATAGACATGTTTTTATTAATATTTTTCCGTAGAATCTGGCGCCCAAAAGTAGTGGATTTTTTTCAATATTTTTCTAAAGGACCTGCCGATTATTAGATTAATAAGCGTGGATTTTTTTTTTTTGAGGGACTTGGCGTATTTTTTTAAAGCGTAAATGTTTAAAGAATATTTTCTGAGGGAACTGCCAACAATCGGCCTGAATTTTTAAAGAATATTCTCCAACGAACATGTCGATCGGAGATTTTTAAAGTCTTTTTTCTGCCAATTAATTTGACCTGTATTTTTTAAGTTTTTTTTTCTGAAAGGACCTGCCAACCAATAGTCGTGATTTTTTAAAATTTTTTCTAAAGGAATTGCCGACCAATAATCTTAGATTTTGTTCAGGAGAACTGAAGGGCACAATTTAATAACATTTTAATTATAAATTTTATTTTCTCATTTATTTATTTATTTTTATTATTTTCCAAATATCAAATCTCCATCAATCCTTTTTCTTCTCACTCTCCTTTTTGGAACCACTCTTCTTGTGCTCCTTCTTCTTCTCCTCACTGCCCCATTTTTTGTGTTCCTCTCCGCCCTCGTGATGTTTCTTCTCCTTCTTGTATTTCTTGTGATCCTCGTCATGATGACCCTTCTTGTAGTGTTTCTTATGGCCCTTATGATGTTTCTTCTTACCCTCCTCATGCTCTTCACCCTTCTTCTGCTCCTTCTCTTCCTCCTCATGATGTTTATGCTCCTTACCATATTTTTTGTGATGTCCACCCTTATCCTCGTCATCGTAGAATTTCTTATCCTTTATATATTCGTCCTTGTGGAATTTCTTATGGTGTTCCAATTCTTTGTGACCTTTCTTGTGTTTCTTTTTCTCGTGTTTTTTACCCGCCTCCTTATGTTTGCCATGTTTGTGTTCCTCTCCGTATTCTTCTTCTTCGTCATGATCATGCTTCTTCTTGCCACCCTCGTGTTCGTAATGATGTTTATGATCCTCCTCTTCGTGATGTTTCTTTTCATCCTCATCCCAGTCGGAGTGTTCCTTGTGGCCCTTATCCGATTTATGCTTCTTTTCGTGACTTTCTTGCTCTTCGTATTTTTTACCTTCCTCTTCTTTCTCCTCGGAAGATTCTTCTTTGTGCTTCTTGGCCGCCACCACCATCACATCGAGTGTGAGGAGGGCGAGGATTAGTAGAACTTTCTTTAGTCGATGGTTGTGTCCCATGTCCGCGCAGTTGGTTCCGCAACTAACTTCGATTGTCTACAAAAATTTTAATTTATATTGTCGGAAGCTTAGTATTCTATGGGCGATTGGTGGTGTTGTTGCCACCATTACCGTTAACCACAACGTTTTTTTGATTCGGACCACTCTACGAAGTTTTGCAAATACCAGCAAATTGGATTATGAAAATGTCAGTGGACCGTTTATTACACTTGATAGGTGGTCATTGACTTCGGAAAATGTCTGTGGATATATTTTAAAGGTATGGGAAGCATACCTAAATACCCTAGGTCTGGTAATGCAGAAAATATTCTTTAAAAATTCACGCCTGGTCCTTCAGAAAATATCCTTTAAAAATCCTGGCCTGGTCCTTCGGAAAATATCATTTAAAAATCCTGGCCTGATGTTTCAGAAAATATTCTTTAAAAATCCACGCCTGGTCCTGCAGGAAATATTCTTTAAAAATTCTTGCCTGGTCCTGCAGACAGGTTCATTAGAAAATATTCTTTAAAAATCCACGCCTGGTCCTGCAGGAAATATTCGTTAAAAATGCTTGCCTGGTCCTGCAGACAGGTTCATTAGAAAATATTCTTTAAAAATCCACGCCTATTGGTCGACAGGTTCATTAGAAAATATTCTTTAAAAATCCACGCCTATTGGTCGACAGGTTCATTAGAAAATATTCTTTAAAAATTCTTCATAAAAATATTCTTTAAAAATCCACGCCTATTGGTCGACAGGTTCATTAGAAAATATTCTTTAAAAATCCACGCCTATTGGTCGACAGGTTCATTAGAAAATATTCTTTAAAAATCCACGCCTATTGGTCGACAGGTTCATTAGAAAATATTCTTTAAAAATCCACGCCTATTGGTCGACAGGTTCATTAGAAAATATTCTTTAAAAATCCACGCCTATTGCCTTAGAAAATATTCTTTAAAAATCCACGCCTATTGCCTTAGAAAATATTCTTTAAAAATCCACGCCTATTGCCTTAGAAAATATTCTTTAAAAATCCACGCCTATTGCCTTAGAAAATATTCTTTAAAAATCCACGCCTATTGCCTTAGAAAATATTCTTTAAAAATCCACGCCTATTGCCTTAGAAAATATTCTTTAAAAATCCACGCCTATTGCCTTAGAAAATATTCTTTAAAAATCCACGCCTATTGCCTTAGAAAATATTCTTTAAAAATCCACGCCTATTGCCTTAGAAAATATTCTTTAAAAATCCACGCCTATTGCCTTAGAAAATATTCTTTAAAAATCCACGCCTATTGCCTTAGAAAATATTCTTTAAAAATCCACGCCTATTGCCTTAGAAAATATTCTTTAAAAATCCACGCCTATTGCCTTAGAAAATATTCTTTAAAAATCCACGCCTATTGCCTTAGAAAATATTCTTTAAAAATCCACGCCTATTGCCTTAGAAAATATTCTTTAAAAATCCACGCCTATTGCCTTAGAAAATATTCTTTAAAAATCCACGCCTATTGCCTTAGAAAATATTCTTTAAAAATCCACGCCTATTGCCTTAGAAAATATTCTTTAAAAATCCACGCCTATTGCCTTAGAAAATATTCTTTAAAAATCCACGCCTATTGCCTTAGAAAATATTCTTTAAAAATCCACGCCTATTGCCTTAGAAAATATTCTTTAAAAATCCACGCCTATTGCCTTAGAAAATATTCTTTAAAAATCCACGCCTATTGCCTTAGAAAATATTCTTTAAAAATCCACGCCTATTGCCTTAGAAAATATTCTTTAAAAATCCACGCCTATTGCCTTAGAAAATATTCTTTAAAAATCCACGCCTATTGCCTTAGAAAATATTCTTTAAAAATCCACGCCTATTGCCTTAGAAAATATTCTTTAAAAATCCACGCCTATTGCCTTAGAAAATATTCTTTAAAAATCCACGCCTATTGCCTTAGAAAATATTCTTTAAAAATCCACGCCTATTGCCTTAGAAAATATTCTTTAAAAATCCACGCCTATTGCCTTAGAAAATATTCTTTAAAAATCCACGCCTATTGCCTTAGAAAATATTCTTTAAAAATCCACGCCTATTGCCTTAGAAAATATTCTTTAAAAATCCACGCCTATTGCCTTAGAAAATATTCTTTAAAAATCCACGCCTATTGGTCGACAGGTTCATTAGAAAATATTCTTTAAAAATCCACGCCTATTGGTCGACAGGTGCCTTAGAAAATATTCCTTAAAAATCCACGCCTATTGGTCGACAGGTGCCTTAGAAAATATTGGCTGACAGGTACTTTAGAAAATATTCTTCAAAAATCCACGCCTATTGGTCGACAGGTCCTTAAGAAAATATACTTTAAAAATCCACGCCTATTTTTCGACAGGTCCTTTAGAAAATATTCTTCAAAAATCCACGCCTATTGGCCGACAGGTCCTTAAGAAAATATTCTTTAAAGATCGACTTAAAATTGCTTAAATTCATTTCAAAAAGCCAAAAAATAACCCCATTTTAACATCACGTTCCATTTAGGCGTTTTAATTATCGATAACAATCGATTATTTCGATTAATGGCAATTGTGGCGTTTTTCTCAGCAAACTGCAGTGGGCAACACTGCCGCTCTTCCCTTTTTCTCTGAAACGTCAAATTTGTTGGTATTGTGTACTTTTTTGCGACAAAACTTTGTTAGATTTTTTTGCTAAAATCCCAATTTTCTTTTTTTACGGACCACAGAACAGGAATACCCCAGAACTAAGACAAGATGCCGCACATGGTTACAATGGGTAATGGCCAAAGCCAATCTATACAAGAAATGTTGGGATGCATTGAAAGGTATGTAAATGACAGAATGAGTGAGACAGGCCGCAACAAAACTTAACACGCTAGCAATGGGGGCTCGAAAGCAGAAAAAACAACGAAAACATAACCTACAAAAATATATTAAATTAATTTTCCATCTTCTCACAGATACAACCCGGATCATTTGAAGACCCTGGAAGCCTATGTCGAGGAACAGGCCAAAAACAACACCTACGATTTGGAAGCCAATTTGGCCGTCCTCAAGCTATATCAATTCAATCCACATTTGTTGAACTATGAAATTACCTATACGATCCTGTTGAAATGTCTGACCAACCTGCCACACACCGATTTTGTTATGGCCAAATGTTTGTTGTTGCCACAACAAATGAAAGATGAAACCGTTCAGACTATCATCGAATTGGCTGATATTTTGGAACGTACCGATTTTGTATTGTTCTGGCAACGGGCCGATGTCAACAAGAGCCTATTCCGTCACATCAGTGGTTTCCATGATTCCATCCGCAAGTTTGTCTGCCATGTTATTGGCATTACTTTCCAAACGATTCGCAGAGATTTGTTGAAGGAGCTTTTGGGTGGTATTGAAGGTAAGTTTGTGGATTGGAATTTAGTTATTAACAATAAATGTTTTGAATTTGAATTGAGTAGAGGAGGAGATTAGATCAGAGCATGGATTTTGAAATAATATTTTTTTTAAGGAAATTACCAGGTATAAGCATAGATTTCTAGAGAATATTTTTGAGAGGATTTCGAGAGATTTTTAAAGAATACTTTTTTTAGAAAATGTCAGTGGTATATGAGTTGATTTTTAAAAAAAATTGTTATCAGAGCTAAAGGTGAGGAATTTTTAAAGAATATATTTTAAGAAAATAAGGGAAAGGGGTTGATTTTTAAGCATTTTTGGTTTAAGTCTAGCTTAAGGCATGATAACGGATCATATTTAAATTGTCATCTTAAGCAGATCTACGATTACAATAATGCAAAAATCGATATTTGTTCATAATTTTTAAAATTTACTATAGCAATATGGGTATTAATTTAAAGCGGTTGAAGTAAGGATTGCAAAAATCTAATTACTTAATCGAATAAGTTCTCTGTTATTGAAAATGAGACTCTGTCCCACAAAACTATTCAATTTTTGAAAGAGATGATGTCGTCGTTGGCATCTGTCCATAGGATCCCGCGGGTTCCTAGACTTAGCTTGTTCCGAATATCTTTTAAGAAATGGCGAAGAGATTTAAAGATTTATTATGGATGCAATTGGTTATTCCGTTCGCTCTCTATGAGGTTTAGCAGTTTTCAAAATTGTTGACCTCTTGTGGGGGAGATACTAAAAGGAGTGCACCGATGAGTCCCATCTTCCAACCAAAGAGAGTGGACCCTATCTTTGAATCGGCTTTGAGTTTGAAAAAAAAAACATCCCGATATGGGGTAGGTACCAGAAGGGGTGGACCGATTTTCTCCATCTTAGGACTTGAACTAAGTATGAAAGAAGTGTTAAGATTTGCAAACTTTGGATGAAATCGGTTACTCATTTCGAGAGTGGTCGTAAATCGACTCCTGAAACGGAATTGGTCCAAAGGAACATGGGCCTAAAACCATAATTTTAATGAGGAACATTAGCCATAAGGTTGAGCGTATAAATAATAATTTCGGTAGTTAATATTCCTACTAAAAAAATTATAAATATTGTACCAAGTTTCACAATAGCCCCATACAATGGTACCTCCTGCATTTCGATATTTTAGAAGTATGAGCACTTTTCTCAACGGGATTGGCTGTAACTTGGTATATTGGGTTATCATCCTAATGTAAATATTCCCACTAAAAATTATAAATATCGGACCATGTTTTGGAGAAGCTCTCACACAACGTTACCTCCCAAAGTTTCGATGTTTTGGGAATTTGGGCATATTTTCGAACTGAATTGCCTGTTGGCTACCCATTGGGTGGTAAATCTGCCTACCAAAAACTAGCAATATTGGTCCACTTTATCTATCAGTCCTCATATAAAGGTACCGTAGATTTCAAGATATTTTAGGTCCTTGGTAGGTAGTAATTCTTCCTACCAAAAATCAATTAATATTGATCCAAGTTTCGGAATAGCCTCCACACAACGAATCGTTCTAAATTTTGGGAGTTTGGGCATTTTTGACATATTTTTGATTCTCAGTAGGCCGCAAATCTTACTACCAAACTAAAAGTCCCGGCTGATTTTAGGTATTTTGAGCTTTTTATGCTCTCCCCTCTGGCCGTCTATAAAGACTTCTTGGAACACTGCTATTCAGCCAGGCTGTATAGATAGATTTTTCTAAAGGAAAACTGCTATTCATCCCGGCTGAATGGTATTTTCTTTAGGAAAACTGCTATTCAGCAACTCTACTCAGCCAGCCTGAATAGCAGTTTTCCTAATGAAAATACCATTCAGCCTGGCTGAAGAGCAGTTTTCAATTAGAAAACTGCTATTCAGCCAGGCTGATAAAGTTTTATGAAGGAAACTGAGGCTGAATAGATTTTTTAATGGAAAACTGATATTGAGCCAGTCTGAGTAGTTTTTTTTTAAAGGAAACTGCTATTTTGAATTTAAACTATTTTCTCAATTCAATTTAATTTTCTTTTCTCCATTTTTTCAGATTCCACATTGGACAAATGGGTAAAACAAAATGGCTGGAAGAATCAAGGACATTTGGTTATGATTGCATCCCAGGATGAGAAAATCAAGACCAAAAATATTACAGAGAAAATTGAATTCGATAATTTGGGTGGTCTAATGGCTCAGTGTTTGTAAAATAAAGTAACAAATCGAATACCCCCAATAGAAGCATCAAAGTAATTTAGAAAATCTATATTCCACTACAACAACAAAATTGTGTATTTCTGTAAGCAAAAACCAATAACAACAAGAAGAAAACAAGTAAAATAAATAAAACATAAAACACCATTATGTGGAAATTTTTTTATATAGAAAAAAATTGTATTTCTTTTTCGTTTTTTGTTGACTACAAATACACGACTAACTTATAAACTACAAAGGGGTAGGATGGGGCATGGTGGTGGGCAAAACAAGTCTTAACTAATTTAGCAGCAAAAAGAAGAAATATATATATAAGAAATTATTTTTTATAATTGGAAACATAACAAAAGGGGGAAGAGAAACATAAATAAGAAGGAAATTAAATATTACCAAAAAAATTAAATATTTCCATAAGAAAATTAAAAAAAAAAACAAAAATTGCCTTAATTATTCGATATACAAAAAACACACAAACGCAACTATTTTCTGTTTTTATTTTTAAGATTGTTTTTTAAATTTCTTTAAAATAGGGAATATCTTTTCAAATGCTTCATAGATTTCACTGCGCACCTTGGCACCGGTTAATACCACTTTACCCGAAACGAATATCAATAATACAATACGTGGACGCACCATACGATAAATGAGGCCAGGGAAGAGTTCGGGTTCATACGAACTGAAATTACAATGGGTAAGCACCAGGCCTTCCAGACGTATAGGGAATTTCACATCACAGGAACCAACCATATTTTGGATTTTGAAATCAAGGAATTTTGCCTGAGAGAAAAGAAACAAAAAATAAAATGGGTTAGAAAAGGTAGAGGTTCGTAGTTGGAAAGTCTGAGTAGAGTTTTCTAAAATAAAACTGCTATTCAGCCAGACTGAGTAGAGTTTTCTAAAAGAAAACTGCTATTCAGCCAGGCTGAATAGTATTTTCTAAGGGAAAAAAATCTATTGAGCCAGGCTAAATAGTATTTTCTAAGGGAAAACATCTATTCGATGTTGTTTTCTAAGGGAAACATCTATTCAGCTAGGCTATATGGAGTTTCCTTAAGAAAATCCTATATTCAGCCGTGCTGAATGGAGTTTTCTGTATGAAATCCTTTATTCAACCAGGCTGAATGGAGTTTCCTGAAGCAAAACATCTATTCAGCTTAGCTGAACTAAGTTTTTTTAACAGATATCGACTTAAAAATAGTGCGACCTTACCGGAAATCCCAATTTCTGTATAATACGAGCATATTTACGAGCCGCCAGTCTCGAATCATCTTCACTTTTGGCTCCGGTACACACCATTTTGCCCGAGGAAAATATCAATGCTGTAGTACGAGGTTCCCTTATACGCATAATAACAGCCGCAAAACGTTTTGGATTATATTCAGCATTACGGGCATGTAATGCGATTTTCTTTAAATCCAATTTACAATATAAATTAACTGTGGATACAATATTTCTGAAAAAAAAGCCAACAACAATAACAATAACAAAAATATTAGTAGCAGTAAATCCTGCCCCCCACAAATCTGGGTGGCGATTTGTACTTACTGTAATTGTGGTACAATGCCCGGATCCGCTGAACCCGGCGTCATTGGTGTCATGGGTGTGGCTGGACCCATTGTCTGGTGAATATTACTTAGATTATCGGCCGCCCGATCACTCATCGGTACCATGGGGGACATAAGGCTTTGCGGTGTCTGTGGTTGCATTAGGGATTGAGGTGCCGTCGTCGATGTCGTCCCCGATCCCATCTGATGGCCATTCGTCGATGACATGGAACTTTGGTATGATGGTTGATATGATTGCATCTGTTTTTGGGGCACTGGCAGTGTGGGATGTTGTCCCATGGTGGTGGTGGTGGTGGTATTACTATTTGTTACACCCATGCCACTGCTGCTACTGGATACCGCTGGTGCGGGTGATGCGCCCATAATTGCATTCAAGTCATAGTGGTGATTATTTGGATTCATATCATGTTGTTGTTGTTGCGTCAGGGCAGCTGGTGGATGATAGACAGGATTGGCGGCCACAATTTGTTGATCGGGATCCAATTGATGCAGTGGCGTTCCAATACTGGGTATTGAAAAGCCGGGACTTAGCATTTGGTCCATGTTTCAATGTGTTGTACCTTCTGCTAACCAAGAAGGAATTCTAGTGGAAGGGCGAGTGGCGGGGCTGGTTCAAAGAAGTCACCTTAATTTGGAGTCAACGATATCTGCCAATGATGATGCTGATGTTAGCGCTTTCAGGCGCGTTGTTATCTTGTTGTGGAGTACCCTTATATTGGCAAGTTGTTTTCTGCCTCCTAGGGTTGGTGAAAAGCTATACCTTTATAACTGTACTTTGCAATTGTTCGGTGGCGAGAGGGATTTTCCAGCAGGTGATTGCAAATTTTTATTTGATTTTGTTGGGAAAATAATTGAAGAAATCGAAGCAGCTTTCTTGTCAACAGAACCAACTGGTAAATGTTTTTACACAAAATTCACAACACAGCGTTGCCATATCGTTTACGTAATTGCGTTTTGCCGCGTAACCATTGCCGTATTGCCGGGGAAAACAATGCGATAATCGATAAATGGCATAAGTGGTGATCGAAGGGGATATGGTGAGTTTTTGACAGATAATTAATAAAAAATATTAAAAAATAAAAACAAGACAATTTAATTTTTTGCTCAAGTAAACGGTACAATTCGGTCTGTTCCAGATACTGCAAGAATGAACAATTCTTCACTACGGTTATAATATTTATGTTATCGGAGAAAATAGTAATATTTAATTATTTGGTCTGTTCCTGTGCTGCAAGAATCTACGAGTTTTTACTATTTTTTTTTCGATGTTATAAAGGAAAAAAGTTTTATCGCAATAAAAAATAGTAGATTCTTGCGTTGCGCCATCCGTCGCGTTATGTTCTATGGAAAATACAACAACCACAAGGAAACGATAACATCTACGCTTGAAGTTGATGTGTATTGCACTTCAGAGTTAAATATTGATCTGTTCCCGTACGGCAAGAATGTACTATTTTTTTACTACGATAACCATTTTCCCCTTACGATATCGAAAAAAATTGTAAAAAATAGTAGATTCTTGCAGTACGGGAACAGACCATATATTTTAAATTTTTCGTGTGTTATGCGGTGTACACACTAGCATTTTTGAATGGCACTCTTGCCCAAATTTTCCTTTTTTGATAGTGTGACCTCACATGTTTGTCATTCATCAGGCAACCACAAAAATATTTACGGTTGTTGGACAGTCACTAATCGATAAAAAAGTTGACAGTCAAAAATGATACTGTGTACACCGCTTAAAGGAAAATTCGTTATCGTAGTAAAAAGTAGTAGATTATTGCAGTACGGGAACAAACCAATGGTGGATGAGTGGAGAGTTCCGCAAGTTACGTATAGATTAAAATAGGATATAGGATACCGCAATGCAAGAGTCAATTATTTTTTTACTACGTTAACATTTTTCCTTTATGATATCGAAAAAATAGTAAAAACTCGTAGATTCTTGTAATACAAGAACAAAGCAATATTTTTCATGTTGAAATAAAAAAATTGGTTACAATTTGTATATGTGTTGTAGGGCTTAGCCACTTTTTTCCTTTTTTTCGATATCGTAGTAAATATTTGAACATTTTACAGGTTTTTGGACAGATATTTAATAATTGTCCTTTTATTCGTTCGGTGTAATTACTTTCCATTCAAAAATTCATTTCTGTGTCGTTATTTCAACTCTACTTTCAGAGATCTCCAGTTCGTTTCTAAAAATCGATTATTTATTATTCCCTTAAAAGTCGATTAGTAAAAAGTCGATCTACAGAGCCCTAAATTCAATCAAAATAATAGAGAAATTATTTGTGTGTCGTTCGTTTGTGACGAAATTAAAACTAAAACTTCGCGAGCGCTAGACGAAAGAGAAAAAAAATACAAATAGATAAAATTAAATAAAGAATTAATTAGAGGTGAAAAAACTATAAAAGTGTAGAAAAGTTAATTGAAAAAAAGAAAACAACGCAATAAAGTTGGAGAATTAAAAAATAATAATAAAATTTCTTTTTATGGTTTTTTCTTTCTTTTGTAAATAGAAAAAATACATAGAAACAAAGAAAGGATAACAACGAAATACCAAAAAGACAGACACGATGACCATTTTACCCAAACCCTCAATTGATAAGAAGGGCAATTTCAAATTGCCATTGCCCCTAGGCCTTGGGTCATTTGGTAAAGATCATATGGAGAAATCCTTGTTGGGGGTAAGTAATGGATATATAATGAACTGTATTTGAAATTAATAGATATATAATAATACAAGTGTAGTATTGTTATTATTTTATTATTTTTCTAGAAACGTAATAAAGCAATTTCGTAAGCTTTGAGGGTTTTTTTCTTCTGTTGCTATATACCCCGCAAATATCCTTGTAACTTATATGTGCAGGAATTTTAATATCCATTTACTTTGTCGCTTACTTTTTTCTTCTTTCTTATCATGGCCATTCAATTCGTGTTCATGGTCTCTTTTGTGTTAGCTCCCATTTAAACAAATATATATCCTTGTGTCAGGTTCTGTCTGTCAAGACAATTATTGATTTTTCCTCAGAAACGTAATAATTATTGCGGACAAATCGTTATTTACGTGTTGTGTTATTATTTAAGACACAAATGTGTCAAAGGATGTAAATGCTTCCACATACCTACTATACCTATGTATGTATATATAGTATATAAGAAAATTATATACTATATATATTTACCCCAGTTGTTATTGGCATTGATTTTCTTGTTGTAGTTGTTGTAGCCTTATATCCAGTAACATATTTTTGTTTACATTTTTAATGTTGGGTATACTGACATCGCAAATAACCATGACCCGTCTTTTTTATTTACTTTTGGGATGTTTCGAATTTTTTTTTTTTTTTTTTTTTTTTTTTTTTTTTTTTTATTTTTGGGGGGGGGGGGTGGTGTTGTAGTTAAAATATATTTGAAAACAAATTAGTATTTTTGGGGGGCTTCAGAACGGGACTACCCCAAAAAGAGGGGCATTAATAATTTTTGGTAGGGAGATTTGCTACAATATACGACTACTAAATGCCAAATTACAACGAATTTGGTTGAAAAACGCGCTCATGAACTGAAACATGCCGATAATTGGGTGTAGCATTATATGAGAGCTATCCGAAAAAATTGACCTATATTCATAATTTTTTGTGGAGAGTTTTGGTACCCAACAAGAACTCAAAATACAAAATTACAGCCAATTCAGTGGTAAAATGTGATCAAAATTAGGGGGTACCCTTATATGAGGGCTATCCGAAAAAATTGGCCTATATTTATAATTTTTTGTGGAGAGTTTTGCTACCGAATAAGAACTCAAAATACTTAATAACAGCCAAATTCGTGAAAATAGATATGATCAAAATCTCCAAAATACCCAAAATTGGGAGTACCCTTATATGAGGGCTACCAGAAAAAGTGGACCTATATTTATAATTTTTTTTAGTACCCAATAAGAAGCCAATGTATCAAATTTCAGCGAATTCGGTTGAAAAACATACTCAAGAACCCCATAATACCGAAATCATGAAAATATTTTTCGGATTTTTTTCTGATGTTATCAGAGTTTTTAGATTTGTTTTAGGTTTCGATATTTTTATTTTTGTTTTGGGATTTTTTAAAAGATATTTTTTTGACCTATAGGCATGGATATTAAAATATATTAAATATAAAATATAAAAATATATTAAAATATGTTTTGGAACTTTTTAAATTTTTTGGTGCCTACTAATAGGCGTGTAGTTTTTAACATTTTTTTCAGGAGTGGATGTTTTTTTAAATATTTTTTTGGAATTTTTTAATAGTTTTTTTAAAATATGTTTTATATTTATTTTACATTATTTGTTTTATATGTGTGGGATTTTTTTTAAATATGTTCTGGGATCTTCACAGGGTGGCCTGGATTAAAAATATATGTTCAAGGTTCAACAGAAGCTTGGATTTATTAAAAATATTATTTCATGGTCCAAGAGAAGCGTGAGATTTTTATACCCTTCACACTGTCGTACAGACACATGGTTCCTTTCGAGAATATGCATAGAATCACTTTCTAAGTCGATTTATGCATGTCCGTCTGTCATGTTAAATTGTAAACAAAGTACAGGTCGCATTTATTATTTGAATTGGATGAACTTCGTCACAGTTCATTCATTTGGCCCAAGGACGATCTCTATTGAAGTTGGGAAAAATCGGTTCAGATTTCGATATAGCTACCATATATATTTTCGTCCGATAAAAGGTAAATGGTGCACCATGGTCCCTAAATAGCTTTCGATTTGCACGAAATTTGGCACAGCGTACTGAATATAGTCTCGAATGATGTGTGTTAAGTTTCGTAAAAATAGGTTCAGATTTAGATATAGCTCCCATATATATTTTCGTCCGATTTAATGTAAATTCTTGGATTGGCACGATATTTGGCATAGCGTACTATATTGAGAGTGATGTGTGCTATGTTTCGTGAAAATTGGTTCAGAAATTTGGTTCAGAAAATTGATACATATGCAAGTGGTGAAGGGTATCATATAGTCAGCCCAGGGTATCCGACTTTTCTACTTTCCTTACTGGTTAAAAACTGTTATTAAACATATTTTTTAAAGGTCCAACAGAAGCTTTGATTTATTGAAAATTTATTCCTTGACAACGTGGATTTTTGAAAACTTAGATATTTTTTTTAACAATTTCTACGGGATGAAAAATTAAAATTTTTTTTAATTAATGTATTTTTTTAAATACTCCCTATTTTTTATACGTGAATATTTAGATGACGTTGGAATACTCCAATATTCCAAAAAAAAAAAACGTGCAAAAAGGAGGATAAACTGTTTTTTCTACGTTCTTTGCTTATGTACTTGAAAGTGGGTTAACATTTGTATAATGTTGTAAATTGTATAACGTATTTGTTCCCAATTTTTGTCTCTTAAACTATTACATACATATGTATATACATATATATTCGCATATCTATGCTCTTAATAGCAAAAGTGTTCACTCATTTTCTTTTCAACAACATGCAATAATAAGTTTTAAGGTTTCAGCACATTTTATTGCACTTTCTTTTCTTTTTTATTATGAAGGTCACAGATGATTCGGTCGTTTGCTTTTCTTGCTTTTGTAGACGAATTCCTGTTAGTAGATAAAGACGCTTCATAATTGTGAAATAAATAATGGAATGTATTTTGGAGGATATTTTTATGGGTCCTAAACTAGAAAAGACATTTAAGATTACTTTTTTTAATTATAATTTTTTGATTCTATTTACAATAACAACAATAACTGTATTTATTTGTCAATGACCAAGAGTGGCTCTAAATTGGACTGTATAGTGTTTTTCCTTCAGGCTAAGAAAATATGTTTTGTCCACAAGTCCACAGGATCTGCTGAAGGGTATTTTGTAAGACATCATAAAGGATTTGAAATAGGGTTCCAGAAATAAAGTAATTGTGAATAATATTTTCCTACGATTATATATCTTGATCGGTCTATTAATAAAATAATATCTCTCGTAGCCACCAAGACCAAAATATTTTCTTTGTGGTTAATTACAAAATTTTATTTTTGTTTTATATCTTTTATATGCAATATTTTTAATCTGCATTATCAGCTGTAATTATTCTTTATCATCATGCAATTTTATTGCACTATGTTCATTATAATAAATATTTACACACACACATATGTGTGAAAATTGTTTGTTTTTAGGAAAAATTGTGACTTTGGATCGTGACTTTACAAGTCATCATTTTTATGTATGTGTTCTGTCTTATAATCACATTTGCTTGAACTTCTTTAAAGATAACTAAGCATTATTTTGTCCAGATTTCTTTTTGGAGTTTTGAAACAAGTCAACTGACATGTAATAAAATATATTTAAAAATTAATGCTTCGCTTTAAAAAAATTATAATAAGAGGCGACCTTTTATCTTAATAAAATCGTGAATTTTTAATGATTCAGACTTTAGTTCAAAATTCCACCATTTTTTATAGAAACCCGTTTATTTTGTCACTTTTCACATATAGGTCATCGTAAAATATGCAGTTGTACTGAAGTTTCCAAACGCAATTCATGATCAGGATCATTGTAAACAAAAGTTCATATTCCGACATGTTTTTTTTTAAGAGACAAAATTGTAGAAGTGTTGGCAGTTTTTTTGGGATACCATTTTTATTCTGTTTTTACAAAATAGTCAGGCTGAATTTTGTTAAAATCTTCAAATACAAGCTGTTGTACCGGTGCCGCCAGTCATTTATAGGTGTGGACTTCAATATTTGTCAAGGTTCAAGGTCAAACAGATACGAGGATTTATTGAAAAAAATGTTCAAGGTCCAACAGGAGCGGGGATTTATCAAAAATATTTGTTCATTGTTGAACGGAAGCCTAGATATATTAACAAAATTTTTTCAAGATCCAATAGAATCGTGGGTTTTACAAACGTTACTAAAAATGTGTTTTCAATGTCCATCAGAAGCTAGGATTCATTAAAATTATTTTTTGGAAGTCCAACAGAAACCTGGATTTATGTAAAATATTTTTTCAGGGTCTAACAAAAGCCCGCATTTAATAAAAATATTTTTTATAGATCCAGACGAAAAATATTTTTTCAAGGTCCAAGAGAAGCCTGCTTTACATAATACTAAAGCCTTCAAGGCCAATGAATTTTTCATCAAGATCCATTCAGGATCCCGTTTACTTTTTTCAAAGAAACAAAATTTTCTAATATCACGTAGTAGGTATTTTGCAAGAGGTTGTACCAGATCCAAGGGCACCTGACACCCGCGGTACGAATAACCTCCGATCAGGCTCGAGACCGATGCCTCTCTCAGTTTGACACAAGTCCAGGCTGCTGGTATCCCAATACAAAAACGGACGACACAATGCACGTACCACGTGCTTCCGCAGCAAGCAGAACACTGCCGCTGGTAGCAACAACAACGAACAAGAACACAGACCCCAAACAATTAACATGTTGTCCTCACAGACTGTACCAAGGGCCCAAAGGACCGCGACAACGGACAACTCCACACAAACAGTCAACAAAACCGCCCTCACAGACAGCCTACTCGACATCCACATAAGGCAACGATAGTCAAACTGGTCCCTACCGCCCACTAGTGGGCGATACGGACTTTTTGGTGGGCGGTAGGATTTTCCTAAGTATATTATATATTTCAAGACATTTTGAATTTGAAGATATTTTGAACT